ATTAAAAAGCTCACGAAACAGGGATTCGACTTAGACCGTCTCTTTTTCTCTAGCTCCCCTCTTTCTCTCAGAAATGGAGCGTAAAGTGATTGCATAAAATCAGTTGTTGCTGGAACTAGATATGATTTCTTATATGTGCATTCACAGGAGAGCTGGAAAAAAAGAGACGGTCTACGTCGATTCTATATGTCTCAAGCTTTCGAATGGTATGTCGACTGATGAAACACAAAGCTTTTCCGAGTCAAAAGAATCTCTGTTAGATGACCTCCAAAGGCCTAAGCATTGAGAAAATCTTCATTTTACACCTCTATACCGCTTATTTTCCTTCTTTTCACTCCCGCTCCCGTTAGACATGTAAGCTTGGTCAGCACTCATCTCAGATTCAATTACCCCCTTCACTTTTCTGAGTCAGAAATAGCCAAAACCCCCTTCACCTGGAGGAGACCCTGCTCCCCCTATCGCACCTATGCCTCTCAACACCCTGACAAGGCAACCAAGAATCTGACCTACTGAAGCAGTCAGTAGCTATGACAAGCTCAAAAGGATTGCTGCCTATTCCTTACGGTTTGTACGCAAAATCAGCAAAGGCAAACTCTGTCCACTTAACGAGCACTGCGAAACGTTCGGCGGCATTCCGAATGCCCAAGAGATGATAAGCGCAGAACGCCACCTACTTCGAGAAGAGCAACAGCAATCTGATCTGCAATCCTTCATAAACAGCTGCAAAAACAAGACCATCAAGGAGGACCTACATGGAGTTACTAGATTTGGCCGCTTGCAAAACTCGGATTTGAACTACGACACCATCAATCCAATCTATCTTCCCCGCAAAGGACTACTGAACGCTAGAATTGCGGCGCAGCTACATAAAGACTTGTTTCATTGCGGCGTCAATCAGCTAGTCAACGCTCTCCGCAAGAAATTCTGGATCCCAGCAGATAAAACTCTCTGCAAAAAGATTGTCCGTAACTGCGTCATCTGTCAACGCTATAATGCGGTCCCTTAGAAATACCCACACATGGGACCACTACCCTCCGAAAGGGTCACACAGTCGCCACCTTTCAGCTTCACTGGAGTGGATTTCATGGGACCAATCACCATCAAAGAAGCAAGTGATAAGGACGGAAAACGATATGTCGCCCTATTTACCTGCTTGGTGACACGAATGATACACCTAGAAGTAGCCAAAGACTTGTCAGCAAGAAATTTCCTGTTAGTTTTCAAGCGCTTCACGGCAAGAAGAGGTGTTCCGCTGAGGATAATAAGCGACAACGGCACCAACTTTCGCCTTACGGAAACCATCCTTCGGCGCGATGATCCGCCCTCATGCTCACCAGTATCACTCTTGCTTGCCAAACACAACATTCAATGGAACTTCATTCCACCAGCTTCTCCATGGATGGGAGGAGCATGGGAGAGAATGGTCGAGACGGTCAAAAGGGCCTTGCTCAAAACGATAGAAAGACGGAAGATCTCAGAAGAAATTTTTTCCACCGTCCTCTGCGAGATTGAAGCTGCCGTAAATTCACGACCATTAACGACAATCGGAGAAGGTGCTGACATCGAAGAAGTACTTCGCCTAATCGACTTTGTTTACAAGAACATCCGACATGGCATATTATACGACAAGACGAACAACATCAGGAAGACCCTTCATACCAACCTACCCCAGAAATTTCAACGCAATTGGACGCAAAGACGGCCATTTCTGATGCTGAAAAACTTACCAACAAGTTCTGGGACAAATGGAAAACAGAATATCTTTTGGAGCTGCGCGAACGGCACGTACTCTATGGAAGCAATTACAAATCGTCGAAAAATAATCCATGCATTGGCGACATCGTGCTTATCGATGATGATCTGAAAACATCCAGAGACCACTGGTCAATGGGTGTGATCGAGGACTTAGTCAAAAGCAAAGATGGAGGAATACGAAGCGCCGTACTTCTCCATCTTTGCTTTCATCAAAACCGGAACTGGGAGATGCGTACAGCGTCCCATTAATCGCCTCATTCCACTGGAAATTCGTGCCACAATGGATTCGAACGCAATGACAAGCACTTCACACGAGAATGAGGAACCTCAGAGTAGCATACAAGCTCTACCACAAAAGGCTAAAAAACCCATCAATTATAACGAAAACGTGGTATTGCCGAAACGTCGTCCATGGAATGCGCTCAGCATTTTACTAGCCTTGACAGCATGCAGCATTGTACATTCTGCACAAGGACAAGTGCTGAACTGCACGAACACTGGATTCATACTCAACTTATCGTCGATTCCGGACGTAAACAGCAGAAGTGAAGTATGTGTCAATCGCATTCATTGTCAGAGCATACACACGGATCAGCAACCCATACAAAGATATCTACCGCCACATCAGCTAACTAACCCATATTCCGTGAAATGGCGTGCTATCATGAATACCACACTATACGAAGAGGAAGTGATGTGCCCAGAGCAATCAGTGTGCAATTCCATACATTGCACATTCTGTCCCCTTCTACTCGGCAACCCACGCTGTTTTCCGAAAACAACTATCGCAGTGATAGCTACGGTCATTTACATCATTACACTACTCACCACCATCTCAACATATCTGGTGGCACGTGCAGCATTCATGCTCAAACAAAGATGCCGTTCGCTCAAATACTCGAAGCATACAACGATGGATTCCACGACAACAGAGCAAGCCGAAAATGTGGAAATGCATCCGAATACCGACACGCAAGCACGTCCAAGGAAAACTTCCGGCGGTCATTCGACGCGATCCAAGCTCATCTTCTCGCTTTCAATACTGGCTGTAACAAGTTGCTGTCAGCACACCCATGTTCTCAACACCAAGGATCTGATTTGCACCGACTTTCTTGGAGATTCAAGATGTAGGAGTGTTGAGGAGCATACCTTCGCAATGAGCAGCTTCAAACGCGAAGTTTGCATGAAGATCATGTACAAAGGAGAACTGATCGCGACATTACACATACAACTCGACAGCATAAGATTTGAGTGCATACCTGTCACTCACTTCTTCACCAGGAACGCGGAGTTTATAACAGTTTCTTCCAAACGATGCGTTCAAGCTGGCAGTTGCATGCAACACAGATGTCGCACAATCGCACAAAACTCGTTCGTTCCGGAATTAAACGGCTTATACCACCTTCCTGGAGTGACACGATGCCAAGAATCGTGTGGAGGAATTGGTTGTGAATGCCTCTTACCAATGCCAGGCTGTCTTTTCTCCCTTACCTACTCAAAACCGAAGGACGACCTCATCTACAAAGTCTTTTCCTGTCCTGTGTGGAATGAAAAAGCACGAATACGAGCTCGCTTAACCTTCGTTACGGGCAGGGAAGTGGTGACAAATATGGACATATTACCGCAAGAAACAGTGAGCATGGACAAGATGAACTTCACCCTTGACTTCGTTACGACTCCCACAATTTCCATCCTGGATCGGAAGTTCGTCCAGGTGTACAACCGTACCAACCCGCAGACCATGATATCCCCGTCCGACGACACGTTCGCAGTCAATGCAGCACATCAGAGGTCGCAAAAAATTCAACAAAGTGCCGTGTCATGGATACGTGCAAATGCACCTCAAGATCCACACTCGCTGTTTGCTACTGTGCCAATGTCAACATCACAGAAAGGATGGACTCCTTGAATAATATGCTACCCCTGCACAACTCAGAATTTTCTCTGGAAGCCGACGAAAATTCTGTAACAGTTGTAAGCCACACCTCCGTCGCAGAAGTTTCCTTATCAACTGAAGCCAGATGGAAAACTGCTACGGTTATCATACCCACCAAATGCGAGATCCACGCCTCCGAAGCGAAAGGCTGCTACAACTGCCTCCAAGGAGCAAAACTGGTCTTTACATGCACTTCCAAAATCAGGACAATTGCGGAAGTTGCCTGCACTGATCATCACTACACGATAGATTGCGGACCGAAAGCAACTAATACGACCGTACTGATCAGTTCCAATACCGCCAACTATGCTGCACAATGTAGCACCCAGTGCGGATCACAAAAACATGATTTGCACATCATCGGATCGCTTTATTACCACTCCATATGGAAAGACGATTTGGATCACGCTAGCATCGAAACGGCCAATTACGTGGACTTAATCAACATTCCTGACCTCAGCAACATAGCTCAGGTTATGTCTCACTGGTGGACCACTTCGCTTACAGCAGCAGCTGTAGTAGCATTGTCAAGCTGCCACACTGGTCTGTGGACCTGCTCTGTTTCGCAAATGTATGTTCTTCTAGGACATAACATAATGCAGCACACTCACATGTACATAATATCTGCACTCTCGCTAGTCCCCTCAGGCATCATTGCCTGGTAGTCCGCCTAATTGCAAGCGGTGATGTACAAAGCAATAATTCTGTCCCGCGACATTTTGCCAGGAAGAATGTCGAACCACTCCAAAGACCTCACCGGCATATTTACGATGCCTAGGTCGAACCAGATCTTCGTATAAAAAGGCAGCACTTCCATGCACACCCAACTTCTACTGCTCACATCAAATATGGCTGCTCGAATCCACGTTTCGGACGAAGAGGACCTACTGGACTTATCAATTGGCATGGAAATGGATCAGCTTGCTGCTCATCAAACGACTACCCAATGCTCGAAGCCGCCCACTGCGAAGAAACAGCGTCCACCCAAAACCGTGCGACGTCTGGCATCCACCCCGAAGAAGAGAAGACCGGAAACCACGTCCCCCAATCCTACCGTGAACCAGGAAGAGAATGGAGAGCCCCAGGTAAAAATTACCAAGCTCGACACTGTTCTCATTCCAGACAGAAGTGCGGCGCTCGTTCCAAAGCCCAAGGTGACCCTGCGTCCCTTGGTGCTATCGCAAGAACATCGGGGCTATGTCTCCAGCAAAGATGTGATAGACATGTTCCACGTCATTCTGGATACTCGAAGAGCAATGAACACCGTCTAAATAGGATCGAGGACAAGCTCCGCGTTTTGACCCAGCAGATGGACGGCATCGCAAACAAGATTGAAATAGTCGAGGAGAAGCAGCGTCCGCTTCCAACGATGCCAACACCGCCCAATGGATGTCCTCCCGTGGAAACTCCACAGTATTGTGATGTCTGCTACTTCGCGGGGCACCATGCATCAAATGCCGTGGCAAGAAACGTATGCACCCCGATCGTGTACGCAAGGTATACAAGAAAAAGGGCATCTGCAAAAGATGCCACTGCATTCATGCAAATCCCGCCCAGTAGATCGATTTTGTATTCCATACTTGATTTGTTGTTGGTTGTTGCATTAATGTATTAATATTCTGAAAAGATTTTTTTCTCATGTGGTACCTTTTTTGTTTACACTCATCCCATTACCGTACTGAAAAAAATTCCTTTTTTTTCATGTGCTATTTTATTACCTTGCTTCTATTTTTCTAATAAAATTTTGTTCGCTAGTTCCATTGTTGACACATTTCATACACTTCTCCATTCTACAGTAGAAATATATATCGTGCATCATGCACTCCTTCCGCCCCGCCCCCAGTGTCGTTAATAATATTTATTAACGACCGTCTTCGATTATGTGAATGTATCCATTCTGTCATGGACAAGTTGTAGATTGTCCATGCCTTGTTTAGCCACCGGGTCACCTTCATGGCCCTTGATAATGCACTCGGCGGCGCCTACTTTCAAGTAGGCGAAACTTCTACTGCATTGATAGCATTCTTTGCCAGAAGTTGGCATCCAGGCTATACACGCCCAATTCGGCTGTATAAAAGAGCCTGGATACCAAGTTCTGTAGTCGTCACTATCGCCGTTATCGCCCAATCGCTGTTCGTCTATTCACTAATAAATAGTTGTGCCACCCAATTGGTCTTTACCAAAGTGCTAATCTGGATGGGTGGATCTTGCTTGGATGCTACCTTTAAGCACAAGCTTTGAAGACAGGTTATTATACGATGGACGTGCTCCATCGTGTTTGCGAAAAGCGCGCGCGATTTGAAAGCAAAGCCAAAATCAACAAATTGTTTGTTTACAGCGTAGAGAGAAGCATTTGGCTCCAAATTTGGACTGTATGCATACAATGTCTTTACGGAAGAATTGTATCGAAATTTCTGAAACCTTATGTGAATTGATGCTGTTTCCAAAATCAGTCCGTTTCCAGGCGGCAATCAAACGATCTGAAATCGTTTGGAGCATATATTAAATTCACGTAAGTTTTGGATTTTTCTATCATGGTCGAACTCTCCGGTTAAGAACCTGTCCCTAACCATGAAGACACTTCCACATTGTTTTCCTTTGTTTTTTGTTTGTTTCTTTATAAATCGCTTTGTTAGGTATAGCGCTCCAAAGCCAAACTCCTATCTGTGCATAGTATTCAACTTATTTTGAAATTTCACTCTTAAAATTTCCTTTCAAACTAGTGACCTTTTTTGCTTTCACCCTCTCCCAAGTCGCTAGGTTTCCGATAGGGGTCAAAGGGGACTTCGTAAAATGTTCGAAAGTCTGAGCTACTTTGTTTTCAAAAACCCTAGAAACCGACTCCTGCCGGGCCGTGGCTGCTGCTCTTCGTTTTGAATAATTCCACTTGCTAAACTAAATTTTGGGTTTTAAATGGCCCAGTTAAGGCCGGGTAATGATCAGGGAGCACTTGCGTTGGAGAGACACAGACTACGTAGCGGGCGCTAGCGGCCTTAAAGGCAGCGTCCGGGCAAGATTTCGCCTCTCATGTTTCTGCCATTTTGGGGCCTTTCCGCGGCCCTGATTACAGTTGTAAAGTCCAAATTGTTCAAAACTCTCAAAAAACCCGGTTCTTGGGGACCCTCTCTTCAAGAAGCGGACGAGTTTCGAATTGCTCGTCCCCATCGTCGTGCCAGCGGGAGGAGCTGCAACTGCACGGATGCAGTTGCATGGCATGTGCAGGGAAACTGCAATGCAACTGCAATGCAACCGCACATCTGCGTAAAGCACTCGTCCTCAGGGGTAGTTTGTGATACGAAGGGGCGGCTTGTGATACGTATCACAGGCCCGTATCTCCTTTTAGAGGTCACGTCAAAGGATTGGACCAACGCAGATCGGATACTCATGGGCCCCTCTTTACAACTATGTGCTAATTTGGGTGGATGGATCTTGCCTGGACGCTGCCTTTAATTGGGTACAAAGCCCCGCCTTCCAGCCGCCAAGCCAGTTGATTTAAAGGTTAACTGACACAGAACACGTTTTGCCACGTTCAACGTGTCCCCTCTACCTTCCGCACTACTTCCTCCTTGATATCATTCCCATCGCGTACGCTCACGTCTGACATGTTCGCCCTGTCATTACAACCCTATTTTTCTCTGCTTCTCTCTCCATAAAGAATCACGCTGTGGTAGTACGTGCAAAGAGTACATTGCTAGGAAAGGTGCCCTCGCCAAAAGCAAGAGCACTTAACACGTTTCGGACCGCGAAATCGCGCGCGGCGAAAAAGAGTGCACTTTCAGCAGTTAGCTTAGAAAGAGACCTTATTTCGCAATCTGTGGGCTACATCTGTAATCAGCTTGTCAAATAAGTTCCATATTCAAAGTTCTGAATAGATTCGAAGTGTTTGAATCTTGTAGCTTGCGAAATACTTCTGTGCTTTCCTGAGAGATAATAGGAACAAGAACTCGGTTCCTTCTAGTATCCAAAAGTATCTACTCAGACAATCGATCGGACCCCTCCGCCGGACCCTCGGAAACTGCCAGGGTCGCGCCGGACCCAGTTGACCAATGAGAGAAGGGCAAATGGGCGGTCCATCGCGGTGGCATCACTGGCAGGCAAATGGGAGGCTTCTCCGGCCCTGCTGCAAAGGTCCGCCATTTCTCCGGCGCGACTCTGCCAGATTTGACGGACTCCGCGCCGCAGAGGTCTGCGCGGCGCGTGTCCGCCAAATTTGGAAGACACGCGCCGGAGAAAATCGGAGGGGTCCGGAGCAGAATTGGGAGGTATCCGGAGCAGAAAATGGGAGGTATCCGGAGCAGAAAATGGGAGGTATCCGAAGCAGAAAATGGGGGTATCCGAGCAGAAGATGGGAGGTATCCGCCGGAGAAATGGGAGGTATCCGGAGCAGGCTGCGTATCGATTTGGCGCGTAGCAAGCAAACGTCTAACTCCACGGTGATGAGTCCTCTGTTTACGCTCTTTGTCCATATTTTAGTCGCCGTTTATTTGATTCTGTTGTTTTTGCTCGTTTCTTTACCGTTTTTTCCTTTTCCGCGTTGCTCTTCGTCGCGTTGGCGTTTATGTTGCTGTAAGTTCCTCGTTTTCAGGTTTATGTTTGAAATTTTCGTGCGGTTGCACTCAATCACCTTCAGAGTTTGGCTCTTTCCGACTTGCTGAGACATCGTAGACTATTGATGGAGTGGTTTTTGTGATTAATTCTGGATTTTCGAAACAATGAGGTTAGTTGCGCAACTATCTAGTGTTGTTGTGATGAAAGTATCGTCTAAATAATCCGTTTATTGCTATAGTGTGGACCCCGGCCAGGTTCCCATAGGTACCTCCGCGGCGCGCCCGCAGCGCATGCCTTCAGTGCGCTTTTCGTTTCGGCTCTGAAGGGATTTCTTTCAATTTCCTCTTTCAAGTGTGTTTGTTCTCTTCTGTAATCTCTACTTTAGATGTAAACGACACACGTCAACTGCTGGTGATGGATTTTTACGAGTCTTGACAGTCTTGCAAGCATTTGTTTCGAAAATCTTGTTTTTTTCTCAATAGTGAAGATTTCGGTGTAGTTCAGAGACATCTCTCCAAATGTTCAGAATAAGTGTATATGCAGTTGATTTTGTGGAGTGTAGATGCTTCTAGCCTTTTGTTACACCATCAGAGCTTTGCAATCGTGCTCTTGAGCTCAAACTTTCTGGGTTTTTTTATGAACAGAAGGAAGACTTTTCAGAATTGTTCTTCGACTTTTCCTGTTACTTCTATCATCCATCGCTGGTAGTGTCATACACTACTAGCGATGGATAATAGAAGATTCCAGTTATTTATGAGATTGACTGGAATCTGAGCGCTAGTAGTAGAAGTTGTGAAGGTTCTCCTATTGCCTTGGCTTTTCTCGTGTTCGGATTAGAGGCCTCCACATCTCATTTCACTCCTGTTTTCGGTTATAATGCTTTTTTGTTCGTAAGTGAAATGAGAAGCGTTCAAGTCGGGCGCGCGTTGCGTGTGCGCCGCGCTAGTACCTATGGGAAGCTGGCCGGCGCCATCTAAATCTACTTAACCGGCTGCGCGGGCGGTCGCGCGCGTGCCATGCCTGCGTGCCGGGACCTAGGGCTCGCTAACTGCCAGAATTCATATCTGAAGAGCATTTGCGGTGTATGGATGATTCCCGCTTCTGCGTGACGGGTGTTGCCGCTGACTCTGACAATGAGACTGCGCATACCGGTCTTCTTTGTCTGTCCGTGATAAAAGCTTTGCAAGTTCTAAGGATATACGTAACCCTTATGTACATACATTCCTCATATCGTCACTCGAGTTGGAATACTTCGACTCAGAGCCTAGTCGCTAGTAATCTTGCTAGGGACAAAGCTAACATGTCAGATTCTAACACAAATGTGAATGAGCATGCGATGTTGCGACTGTCTCTGCTTGTTGCCACTTACATCTCAATGTTTTTTGAAAGTTAGAAATGGCAATTTTGCTTCTAAAAGAACTTTTTCTTTTCTCTGCAGAACAACTTTGTTTGAAAGGTAATCTTGGCTGTTACGATTGCTACGTTTCCATACCAAGGAAACCTTACCTTTCACTCAAATCAGTCCGACGTGAGCACACAACTTTCACTGAGAAGCTGTTGCTGTGCAGAGCAACAGCTTCTCAGTGATTCTTCTGATTTTGAGGCCCAACTTTGCAATGTTATTCAAGAGAAAAAACGTATGTGCCTTGAAAGTGAGAGACAGACATGTTTTGACATAGTTGAATTTGCTTTTCTAAGCTGAATCAATCCAAGAAGATAGTACGGTATTAGAAGTTTCTGGAAGTGAAGTGTCTTTGGACTATCCTGAAGTGGAGAATGATCAAATGCGGGCTTTGGACATACTCGCTGCTTACTACGTCAAACTGGTACATCTGACCTTTTACCTGGCACTGATATCATAGTAATGCTGTGAATCACGCTTTAGGGTCACAAAGAGCGAACTTCGAAAGAAAGAAAGCGCGATTTGTTTTCTAAAGCGACGTTGTTGTATACGACTGCAGATAGGATAAAAATGTATGATATGCCACATCTTACTGGGCGGGCGTACTTCTGTCTGGTGGAAGAAAGAGCGAGCAAAGTGGATCAGGCCGATCAGCAGTTCAATTTTGTTCTGAAGCAGGTAATTCATAAATTTCTGCAACCTGATAACAGAACGGAGTGTGGCCATGAGACTAGAAACATATTGAGACTTTTTGCAGGAGCATACGATATACCAGCAATGATGGGTAAGGCTATAATTGCCTTCAGCAAACAAGATTACAAGACCGCTTTGTATTTTTTAAAAAGGGTATGTGCTTCTTATCCAGCATAGATGTTAATTCATATTTTCTCTTTCTAGGCCCTGAGGCAAAAGCCAGATGGCCCTGCTGACATGAGAGTTGGTATCGGTTATTGCTTAGCGAGATTAGGACTGACTGATAAGGCTAGGTAAGCATGTAAATGTGAAATGTTTGAGTCACATAGCTTCTTCTTTACTGTTTATGTGACTTTCAATTACAATTTGCAGAATCGCTTTTGAACGAGCGTTGGAATTGCAAAATGACAATGTTTGTGCTCTCTCAGCACTTGCCATTTTGGATTACAATACGCATACTGTCGAGGGAGCCCAAAGTGCAGTGGCTTGTCTAGGCCAAGCGTATAGTCTGGAGCCGGAGAATCCGGTTGTCTTGGTCCATCTTGCCAACCACTTCTTCTTCAAAGGAGTCAGTGCAAAAATTCTTTGAATTAATTACGAATTATCTATAAAAGGGACCTTTTAAATTTGTCCAAGCTGTTACATCGAGGTGTTTATCGCTTTATCTGAAGGCATCACTTTTTCAGGAAATGAACAAGGTTGAACGGTTAGCGTGGCATGCAATGAGTATGACGGAAAGTGACGAAATCAAGGCCGAAGCTTGTTACATTCTTGCGCGGTTTTTCCATTTCAACAGAGACTATGAAAAGGCGTTCAAGGTAAGTTGCATATGCAAGAATTTCAATCCATGTCATCATCGTGTCCTAGTACTATTATCAAGCAACTACGTTGAATCATCCTACTTTCGTTTTGCCCCAGTATGGCCTTGGACCTCGGAATTCGAAGATGTTTGGATGAATATAGCTCATGTATATATCGAACTAGGACAATATGTCCCTGCTTTGCAAATGTGAGTTTATGGCGTTCCTCGCTGTTTTGTTTCATGTTGCACAGAATGCTTTTTTGATCTTTTTGTCATTTTCTTACCGTGTTAAAACCATATGCTCATACTGTGGTGTTACAAGGTTCTTTTTGCAACTAGGAAATTAGCTTTTCTTTAAATATTCTTATCACTCCTAGTATGGTTTTTGTAATATGAATTAACTGTTGTACGTATGCTGGAGATAGATAGATAGATTTTTCGAAAGTTTGATAAATTTGAAATAAATGTCTTACCTCTTCGTTCTTTCTTCTATCTTCTATCCACAAACGCTAGGGGTGAGAGGGAGGGGGTAGAGTACGGGGTGAGGGTCGCGCTAAACTCCTACCCGGGGGGGGTCCTATTCGGCTTATTTGGGTGGGGTTTAGAGACAAAATTGGGGTTTGGAGCTTAAAGGCAGCGTCCAGGCAAGTCTGGACCTATGGGGATTTTACATGGAAAGTATTTTGGGGCCCTAACTAAGCCACTACCCAACCGGCAGCTCAAGTAGTGCTCTAACGCCTGAGATATTCTGCTCGAAACCGGACCCCGCGACCGTGTTTCGCATGGATTCATGGCGCAAAGAGTGGATCCTGGCGCGAAACTGCCATGAATCCATGCGAGTACGTTCGCGGGGGTCTGTTTCGAGGGGAATATCTCAGCCATTGGAGCACTACCTGAGCTGCTGCTTCGCCAGTTGCCTTAGTTAGGGCCCCAAAAGTACTTTCCATGTAAAAGCCCCATAGGTCCAGATCTGCCTGGAAGCTGCCTTTAATTAGGGCTAATTACAGTATGCCGCGATCGGGGGGCTCCGGCGCACAAAATCGGGGGGCTCCGGAGCAGAAAATGGGAGGTATCCGGAGCAGAAAATGGGGGGTATCCGGAGCAGAAAATGGGGGGTATCCGGAGCAGAAGATGGGAGGTCTCCGGAGCAGAAAATGGGAGGTATCCGGAGCAGAAATGGGAGGTATCCGGAGCAGAAAATGGGAGGGCTCCGCCGGACAAATGGGAGACCCACCGCTGTACGCCGCGACCCTGCCACTTCTCCGGCGGAGGGGTCCGATCCGCTGTCTGAGTATGTTGTAGAGGGTACACATCAGTATTGAAGTTTTTCTCTTTGATATCGAAGCAAAGGAAAGTTGCGACGTCGCACGCGTCGTTCGCGTTGCCGCATTTCGTTGCAAATCTTGTTCAATTTGTGTTCATATCTCCTAAACGAATATCGTCGGCACAACTTTACAGAGTCATTTGTAAAGTAGAAGCTTAGGCCTTTGACACGATAACCTTGGACTAAAAGAAGAGCTCCTGTATATGTCAAAAAGATCCCTCAAAGCAGGGTGTTGCACCATGTGCAGCACCGGTCCGAAACGTGTTAAACTTACCTGGCTGGGGGGATCTCGCGATCAAGAAAGCGGGACCCCCGTGGTGAGGCTTCGCATTGCACTTCAGCGATGGCTGACCCGCGTGGCAGCCTCGAGCTGAGGTTGGCCAACAGCTTAATTTTTGCGCGTGGGGCTAGCGTTCGCGCGGCCCCGATTAGAAATTGCTTCAAGGTGTAACGGAAGAGGAGGTGATACAATATTGCAAAAAAAATCTCAATATCCGGCATTTTGACCGTCTTCATTAACAAGAGCGCTGTTGTACCGAATATATTGAAAAATGAGCATTCTCACAAAACGAGGCATAAGCAAAGTTGAGCAAGAAGTTAAGCACAAGTTTTTCGAAAACGACCTCCCTCTCTCCCTTCCATTAAAGTCTTCTCTCCTAGAAACCCTTCTTTCTTTTCTTCCTCCCGGAACTTCATAGTGTCTGTGGAGTACTGTCCTGAAGGGTTTCTGTATTTGCCAAAGTCTGTACATCGATTTTCGATGACTGCACTTTACACTTTCACATGCACACTTGATTTGGCAGTTGAATCAAAGGTTATAAAAATGCATGAGGGTAATTATTGTGAGCGCGCAAAACAAATGCGCGAGGGCGTATGTTTGGCAGTCATTTTGCAGTGTATGAACGTATGTACGAACACAAACATTCTTTTTGTTTCATGGCTTCTAGCCTGTAAAACAATTCCAGCCAATGCAATTATATATTTCACCGTGTTTCTACTGCACAATGCCTAAATAAGAAGCTTTCAAACATTTTTTTAACGGAATGCCGTTTTTGGGGGTAACTGAATACTTTTTGATTTTGGCTTTCAAGTTGACGTAGGTTATGATTTCTGAGAAAACCTGGTAGTGTCTTGCAGAGCTTGCTTTGCCCAAAAGAATAATATGCTGCACGCAATTTGCGGTTCACACTGCATTCTCGCATGAAGAACGCTCGTCACTTTCGCACCAACTGTTACCATTCTTTCATTTTCATCTAAAGCTATGCTTTTTTAAGGGTGATACTGCTTACCCTTGAGCGGAGGAGTTCGTGCTATCAGTTTTTTCCCAACAAAGTCCTATCTCAGCTTCTCTTTGATTTGCCTTATAGCAAGGGATAATCGCTTTGGACAAAGGATCAAGCCGAACGGACAATAAGCGATTTTTTTTTGATTTTTTACCGCTGCTATACCTAAAGTCGTAATGCAAATGCATACCATTCCGGAGAACTCTTCAATCTTTTTGAACCGCTTCATCAATTAGCGGAAATCTTTTTTCTACCCAGATAAAAATCAGACGACTACTAAAAACTGCATTTTGAAACAATAAAAAAAAGGTTATGTCTTCGCCCAAATTTTTGAAGATAAACGAAAGTTGAGGCAAACTGTATATGAGATGGATAGAGTGGGAGGAGCTCTATTAGATGACAATAGAGTTGTGTCACTTGCCAAGAAGTGAATGAGATGTACGTTTTCTAAAATCTGCTGATGACCAGATCTCCTGGCTTTGAGCGTTGATCAGCGAGCTATTGCAGGTTTGGTGACTATCCCATGACCCATTACAGCAACTGGTACCATGGATGGTCTCACGTGCTTTACTGCGCAGATACTGCTCAAAGTTCATAATTTGTCATGTGATTGATTTGCACTTCAGCAAGTATAAAAACTAACAAGCTTGTAGATGACCTTATACAGGTATTGGGGGAACGAAAATGATATATACTGTTAATACAGCATGTAATCATTTCTCTTTCTTGAGAATCTGACAGCTATCCTTTAGATGTCCCATTAATTTCCATTCACTTCAATAGGTCAGAGTGTACTCGTAATTGTAAAGAAAATGGAAGGTCTACCGTGTTGTCTAGCATGAACTTCAATTTGTCAACAGCTCATTCCTTTGTCAGCTTTAAATTATTTTGTTAGTGATACTGAAAATCGTTTTCAAGTAGCACGTAAAGAATTTTGAGGAAAGCTATCGCTTTTAGCCTTGGTTATTCAAGGTATAGCCAAAAAACGTACTCCTTGAAGGCATCGTCCATCGGATTTTCGTCTTTCATGTTTCCATCATTATCGGGCTCTGTGGCCCTGACTCTGAAAATGAGATGTCACAAGAAAACCTCCAAATTCCATTCTGGAATTTTCTGAACAAAAGTGGGCCAGTGCTTTTGCGCTGATCGCATCGTAAGCAGAATAAAATGTCGTTGCATGCAACACCAACACAGTTGTGCAGTATGCACCTCCCTGGCTTACCACGTCAAAACGTGTCAGGAAGCATCTCTCGGATGGGTGGAGCGCTGAAACGTTTCTGTAAATTGCAGATCATTTTTTTCCTGATGAAGGCAACGTTAGAGGATCGGACCAGTGCAGTTAATCTACTTCTAGAGCCTACTTATACAATGTATCGTCATCTGAATAGCTTGGATTTTGGGTGGACGCTGCTTTCGATTCATTGAGACGATAACATTGCCTTTGCTTAAAATTTGGTCGATTTTACTCTATTAATGTTTTGCTCTATCGCATTGACTTCACACTTTTTCGCATAAAATGATGAATTTCATTTCTTCTCAAACGAAGAAAAAAGGTTTTGGCGAGAACAGGATGACTTCCTTTTAAGTTAACTAAGGATCATTCCTGGGCGCATTTGCCTGCAAAACATGAATTCACTATGTAACATGCAATCCTAGATGACAAAGTATGCAATAATAGCATTTGATGAATGCAGAAAACATTGGGCAAGCTGAGAGTGTCCATCACACATAACACTGACATTTCTGACACAGGAAGCCTTTCTGTCAAACATTTTGGTATTCACCTAATTTCCGAAATTCAGGAAATATGTCGAGCAAATTTCGGCATGCATCTATGTCGTGAATAAAGACGTAAAACTTCCTCTCGATTCTGCAAGAGATTACTGCAGAGGCATTTGAACGTTCTTCGGAAACATGGAAAACTTACTCCTTCATTTGCGATCGATGCTCGTTCATTTCCTTATCTGCATACTCATAGATCTAAACAAGAATCTCGCATTGGTCGTTTCGAAATTAGCAGAAAGTGTTCTTAGAATCTTGATAAATAAGTTAGCGTTTAGTCAGCTTTGCTCCAGAGATAGCGTCTAGCTATCTACTTTCTCTGCAGTCCTTACCTTTAACAAGAACGCTTTTGCTGGCTGACTTAGCTTCCTGCATTTCGCATCCATTAAATTTTTCTTGTTTAGAAGTGTTTCGTTATACTTAGCCAGGTACAAACTGATCTGCAATTATTCTTTTTCTCGGGGAAGTTGCTTGTCAAAGACTTGATTTCAAAATAAAACTTTACTGCTTCGTTGGCCAGTACGCCTCCGTCAGGTTCGGGTACTACCCGATAATAATCCCTGCATATTTTTCCAATCCGAAAAAAGAGTCGATACTCGGCGTCGTTCATCTGAAGTAAATGCTCTACCAGGTCTACAGCACCTAAAATTCTCTATTGTACGAAAGATTATATGACTGGGAGGCAGTACTTTTGTAACCATCATTCAATTCTGCCCCGCTTTGCGGTACACTTCTAAGAAGCGGAGGAGATGTCTCCTTGGCCAGAGATATTAAGCATAGCGCGGCTGCAATAAGAAAAAACATTTCACAAGTGAAGTTTATGGAAAATTTATGCAAGCATATGTGAGAATGTGTTTCCTTGATGCTCGTCCACAGGCCACTTTTGCTTTTTAGCAAACACATAAAACACATTAAAGCTATTCAAACGTTTAAAAGTTTTTCCTACTCTTAACGAATTTTAGCGCATATCTAAAGGATCACTAAATCAAAACCAGGCTGTTACTGAAAAAGAGCAAAGCCGTTTTGTTTATTTGCCTATTAAGCGCAGCGAGTTCATTCAAAAATTGCATGGTTTGATTATCTCTAGACAGCAAAAATAATGTTTGTACGCTTCAGCTCTAGAAGTTACTTTCGACTTTCAACATACTGCGTGGAACTGCAAGAGAATTTGGTAGGCGAAAAGAAAGAGAAAGAAGGAACGGGGACTATAATTAAACTTCCAGATCGACGAGATTGCGACCGTCTTTACTCGCGGGCTTCTTAAAGCTGCAACATCCACAAAGCCGCATGTCTGCAATGTTTGAATGCACGCGATCAACTGTGCCAGAAATATAAGAGCTGACAGTTATTTTTTTCAGATATAAAAATTGTGCAACGCACAGCAGGGTATGCACTTTTCAACTAATTGCTGACACTTTGTTCTGTTTGAGAAACTTGGCCCTAACTCTAGTACAGAACGTGCATTTGCGATAAGGGGAAAACCTCCAATTACAGTTACTCGTGATGTTGCCTTACGGTCTGAGGTTTTAGTCTCTCTTTCGCTCTTATCAAGAGGTATTTGAAAAATTGGCTCGGTAGCAACCTTATCCCGTGATCTAGTCAAAAGGTTGTCGGATTTCCTCTGCAAAGTTGTTTTGGCACTAGAACGAATTTGGTCGCAGATCGAAATTGAAGCACCTACTGTTCTCCTCCAGAGACGATCGTCTAGGACACGTGAACAACATAACCCTTTTGATATACATTTGTGTAACCAAGTGTACATTTGATCTTTCTTACGAAGCAGCGCACTACGTAAGAGCTGGAGTTCTATAGCTTGTACACGATGATGATTCTCTGGTAAACCGCAATTTCGTGTATCCTTTTTTTGTGCTATGAAGTTCGGGACTACACGATGCTGGAGACACCGGTTGAGAAAGTAGATGCACTGCCTTTGTTGAAACGATCTTTTGTCTTAATGACAAGGCTTCTCTCACAAGTCGCTTGTATTCGGCTGGTATATACGATTTTTTTCTTTATTTTTGTGCGGTTTGCTCTTTTTGATTTTTGACTTTAAACTAGAGATGGATTTGGATTGATGCGAAATTGAGGACGTCGTCTTATAGAGCTTGCTTTGCTCTATCAAATGGTACCTTGAAATCTATCTATAATCAAGAACTTTATGACTTACTGTGATACGGACGGAACTTATGGGACAACCGATGCATATGCTACATTTAAATGACCGCGCACGCCTTCCTCAAGCTTTCTCCAGATTACTAATCGCAACAGTTTTAAACTCATCTTGGAATTATCTCACGTCAGTGGAAGAAACCAATTTGAAAAAAAGGTTTCAGAAGTTTGAATAAATCGATGCGTATATCTCGCGGCAAGTAAGCCTAAGTAAACATTCTAATCAAGCGCACTTATCAAATTGGGATTGGCCGACTATTTTCTTTACAAATTTCGATTTTGACCAAAAGTGGATAGCAAGTGGATCTCACCAACTTGTGCGTATTTACGCATTCGTAAAGTCTTTTATATTCCAAGGAAATTGCCTAAGTTTAGTACCAAGAAAAATAAAGATATCAAAACAAAAGTAAATGTCATCAATTAATAACTGGATAGTGCGACGTTCAATAAATCTCGGCATGATATTGATACTTTGTTCTTTCTTCTTGAGCCATACACGAGATTGGTAATCGATTTATTAAATTGACGGCTAACGTTTCGGCAGATCGCCTTCGTCAGAGCCTGTAAGGAACAATACGATCCGCAGCCGATTCGAACAAGCCTTGCAGCTGAACAGGCAAAATGCTGAACCTTGTTTTCCACCACTGATTCAGCTGCACTCGAGCACGTACCTTCTAGATATGCCGATACTACTCTGGAGGAAAGTGGAGGTCACTTTGTCCAATGTTAGAGGAAGATGGACTCGTTAGACATGCATGCAGACCGCTATTTATGTACACCAAATCAAAATAATTGATCTAGATAAGCGAGAGTTCATGCGTAATTGCTAAGTTTTCCTCTTTCCGATTCATTTTTGGGCTTCTTGCATGAATCCAAAACACCTCCAAACACACGTGCTTGCGTTTGGGACTCATAGGCCAAGATTCTCACAAAAATTTTAAAGTTCGTTCCTGCATGCTCCACTACTCTGTGGGTGCCTAGGGCTGTTGATGTACGTGCTTGCCGTCTAGATGCTCCTTGATACGGATACATAGTGGACGCGCTGTTTCACCAATGTATTCATCGCCGCAAATCGCGCATGAAATCAAGTAGATGACTCCAGCTGCCATGCAGTCCCCTTCTCTGCTTGCAGGGCAGATTATGCAATTCGGGCTAGCGCAGTTGCGATCATACAAGCGATTGCGAACTAGGAGGGTCTTCAAGCTATTCGGCGGTAGTTCAACAATCGTAACCAAATCTTCAAATCCTATTCTTTTCAAACATTGTCGCAATGATGCGCTTACTTCTTTAGATATATATGGGACGCAAAATGTGACTTTTTTGGGCGTATAGGAAACATCTTTTTGTACGCGATCTTTGGCACTCTTTTTTGTTCTACCTGCTTTCCGTATCCATTAATGGCCGCTATTCTACGAGCAAACGCTATCGATTCTGCCTTTTCTTTCGGACTACTACAGACTTGAGAAGCAGTGCGAAACATGTTGTTGATAACTCTCTTTGTCCATGGCGGATGGGCCGAATGTGAATGGACAAGAATAGTTTTATTACTCGGCGCGGTACCATTTTGTCGTGTGCGCACCATAACTGATATTAACCTGCACGTTCAAGAATGGTAACCACTGATCTTTCGGCTTCTCTCTTGTCAACTGTATATATTGAGATTGCTCATTCAACAAATTGAAACACTTATCCTTATCTTCCTGACAAGCGCAGACTAAAAAGCATCGTCAATATAGTGGCAGTATAGCAACGAACGACCTAGCACAGGCGCTTCAAATTTTTGCCATGTAAGCTATCGCAAGGGTGGGATCCAACCTTTGTCCCATGGCTAACCCTCTTTTTTGTGCATAATAGCTCCCGGAGCACTTGAAAACGTTGCAGTTCAGACATGCTTGCAAGAGAGTCATGATCTGCTGTACTGGGAATCCTTAGAGGTTGATAGAGTTTTCGTTTTCTACAAGGAGCTCATGCACAGCCTACAACGCAGATTCGTTTTGGACATTCGTGTTTCTCACCTTCACAGCCAATTTCCAAAGTCGTCTTACGCAAAATCACATGCAGCCTACATGACCTTCAAGATAAACTTCGCAAGCACGCAAATCTAGAAAACGAGAGCGAGATTCAAAAATCTCCTCATACATGCCTATCACTACCTTTCCCGAGTACTTTCTTCAAGCAACAACAGGTCAACCCCAGTGTCGATATCAGGTTCCGTCTCTTCGCGGACGAAGTCTTTAAACTTATAACACGGGCAACGTAAAATGAAGTCTAACCTCTCTCACCTACAAAAACAGGGCATAAAAGAGATACAGTCTGCTCCAATCGGGATCAGGCCCAACCGTCGGCGTAAATTTGCGCGCTCGCAGCGCTAGCAGTCTGCGCTGCATATGCGCGCTGTCGGAGGGAGCAAAATGATTGAAGAGAGAGCAGAGAAGCAGGATATGGGTGTGACCGCGAGACTCTAGCGACATGGACTCCCGCCATGCCAATTTTGGCCTGATTGGGATTGGCGCAGACTGTACAAGAGTTGATAAGATCAACTCAAATAAGACTATCAGTTAGTGATAAAGGTGGCGAGTTTGTGATCATACCCCACCACTTAGACGTTGCGATAACAAAACTACATCTAGAGGACGTTTCGATTTACCGCGCTGCTTCCGTTTACGAATTTCAGAAACAGTATCGTGAGCTCAATAAGAAGTGGATTGAGGTAGCTAAAGCAGCGAACATGTCACACGATATCATTGCGCGTCTCAAAATTGATCTACCGATTTGCAAGTTTATCTTGAAGGTCATGTAGGCTGCATGTGATTTTGCGTAAGACGACTTTGGAAATTGACTGTGAAAGTGAGAAACACGAATGTCCAAAACGAATCTGCGTTGCAGGCTGTGCATGAGCTCCTTATAGAAAACAAAAATTCTATCAACCTCTAAGAATTCTCACAGCAGATCATGACTCTCTTGCAAGCATGTCTGAACTGCAACGTTTTCAAGTGGTCCGGGAGCTATTATGCGCAGAAAAGAGGGTTAGCTATGGGACAAAGCTTAGCTCCCACCCTTGCGATAGCTTACATGGCAAAAAATGAAGTGTCTGTGCTAGGTTGTTCGTTGCTATACTGCCGCTATATTGACGATTGCTTTTTAGTCTGCGCTTGTCAGGAAGAAATGGATAAGTGTTCAAATTGTTGAATGAGCAATCTCAATATATACAGTTTGACAAGAGAGAAGCCGAGAAATCAGTGGTTACTATTCTTGAATGTGCAGGTTAATATCAGTTATGGTGCGCGCACGACAAAATGGTACCGCAAGCCTAGTAATAAAAATATTGTTGTCCATTCACTTTCGGCCCATCCGCCATGGACAAAGAGAGTTATCAGCAACATGTTTCGCACTGCTTCTCAAGTCTGTAGTGGTCCGAAAGAAAAGACAGAATCGATAGCGCTTGCACGTAGATTAGCGACTTCTAATGGATACGGATAGCATGCAGGTAGAACAAAGAAAAGTGTTAAAGATCGCGTACAGAAAGATGTCTCCTATACGCCCAGAAAAGTCACATTTTGCGTCTCATATATATCCAAATAAGTAAGCGCATCATCGCGACAGTGTTTGAGAAAAGTAGGACTTGAAGATTTGGT